GTTTTAACACTGTATGTAAATGGCTCCAGACCGCCAGCACTCAGCTGCAGCTTGTTCTCAATAGGGTGGCTAAGTGAAGTCGCATGCTCCCCAGCATGGGTCAGATGGAAGCCTCTCCCCATAGCCAGATGAAAGCATCCCTGCCCCGGTGGAGCCGCAGGAGGGTGCTCTGGGGCTCCTCTCGGCTTGCCACCCCCTGCTCCAGCCGGGTGTGACGCCTCTGCCTCAAATGAAGGTGGGTAGTCCCTGTCCAGAGACGGCACTGCCAGCTTCCCAGGTTGACAATTGGGATTCAGCTGTAGGCCCATGACCTGTAAGGGGCCTTCCCTGACACTTGTAAGGTGTGAAGGGGGTTCTGGTACCATCCCAGATCTGTCACTTCCACGGAGGGGCCTTCCCTGGAGAAGGGTGAGACCCCCCCATACACATGGGAATGGATTGGGGGCTGGGTGCAGGGAGGGTCTCTTCTCTTCCCCTGCCTCCTCTGCCCCTCTGCTTCCCCTGTTAGCCAGTCTCATCCAGCCTTTCATGGAGAAGCCCTGTGGGGTGGAGATGACTATCAAAGGCTCTGGATCTGAAGGCCTGGGTTTGCTACCCAGCTCCGCCACCTACTAGCTGGGTGACCTTGGGCTTGTGGCTCCACTCCAGCCCCCCTCGGCCTCAATTTCCCCATTTGTAAAATGAGATTGTTACCAAGGTTATTTTATCCATGTAAAGCACTCAAAAGAGAGCTAGCACATAGAAACCTCTTAACAAGTGTTAGCTGAGAGTATTATTGTCATTATTGTCCCTCACTCTTTCACTGTGTGCCTCCTCTGAGTCCAGCCCTGTGCTGGCTGATGCCTGGGACAGGATGGTGACCTGTCTGCCCGAGGCCCTGCCCTCATGTCCAGTGATGGGAGACAGACACAGCACTAAGCAGTGACAGCCCAGAGTGACCCTGAGGAAAGCACAGGCCCGAGGGTCATGGCTTTGGTGGAGGAGGCCCCCCCCGAGAACTTGAAGCAAGCCCTGGCTCCATCCTAGGAAATCAGGGAAGGCTTCCTGGAGGAGGAGACATCTGCGCTGAGGGCTGTAAAAGGAGTAGGAGTTAGTGTGTGGAAAGCTGTGCATTCCAAGGAGAATGAATCGCATCTTCTAAGGTGGGAAAGGGTCTGGCATTTTCAGTAAATTATTAATATATTTTTTAAATTATTAATATTTTTAATTAAGCTTTTTATTGTGAGATCATTGTAGATTAACTTGGACGTGTAAGAAATAACACAGAGAGAGCCCCTGTACCCTTTACCCAGTTCCCCCAATAATAACATCTTGCGAAATTATGGTTAGTACAAGACCACAACCAGGATATTGACACAGATACAGTCAAGATATAGAACATTCCAGCACAAGGATCCCCCCGATGCCTTTTTATAGCCACATCCCCTCCCTGGCCTGTCCCTAACTCCTGGCAAGCACTCATCTATCTGTTCCCCATTCTTATTATTCTGTCATCTCAGCGTTACGTAAATGGGATCATACTGTACGTCCCCTTTTGGTGTTGGCTTTTTTTCACTCAGCACAGTTCTCTGGAGATTCATCCAGGTTGTTGCCTGTGTCAATAGTTCATTCCTTTTTCTTGCTCAGCAGTGGACGTGCCATAGTTTATTGAACCATTCACCCATTGAGGGGCATCTGGGTTGTTTCCAGTTTGGGGCTATTAGAAATAAAGCTGCTATAAACAGTCTCATACAGGTTTTTGTGTGAATGTAAATTTTCGGTTTTCTGGGACAGATACCCATAAGTGCAATTGCTGGAAAGTAAGGTAGATGCATGTTTAAAGGAACTGCCAGACTGTTTTCCAGAATGACTGTTCCATTCTGCATTCCCACCAGCAGTGTATGAGCGATCAGTTTTTCTGTGTCCTCACCAGCATTTGGTGTTATCACTATTTTTTATTTTGGCCGTTCTAATAGGCATGTAATGATAACTCATTGTGCCTTTCATTTGCATTTCTCTAATGGCTAATGATGTTGAACATCCTTTCATGAGCTTATCTGCCATCTGTGTATCCCCTTTGGTGAAATGTCTCATGTCTCCTGCCCATTTTCTAATTGGATTGTTTGGGGTTTTTTTTACTGTTGAGTATGGAGAGTTCTTTATCACTTCTAGATATTAATCACTTGTCAGATATGTGCTTGCAAATATTTTCTCCCAATCTGTGGCTTTTTATCCTCTTCACGTGGACTTTTGCAGAGCAGAAGTTTTTAATTTTGATGAGGTCTGCTTTATTAATTTTTCCTTTTACGGGTCATGCTTTTGGTATCAAGTCTGAGGACTCTGTGCTTAGCCCTAGATCCTGACGATTTGTTTGTTTTCTAAAAGTTTTATAGTTTCACATTTTATATTTAAGCCTGTGATCCATTACGAATGAAGGTTTGTGCAAGTGTGAGGTTTAGATGAAGGTTCATTTTTTAGCATAGGGATGTCTGATTGTTCCTGTACCATTTGTTGAAAATGCTGTCTTTCCTCCGTTGAATTGCTTATGCTTCTTTGTCAAAAATAAGTTACCACAGTGAGATACCACTTCACACCTACCAGGATGGCTATTATCAAAAGAAGAAAGGAAAATAACATGTATTGGTGAGGATGCAGAGAAATTGGAGCCCTTATGGATTGCTGGTGGGGATGTAAAATGGTGCGGCTGCCGTGGGAAACAGTTTGGTGGTTTCTCAAAAGGTTAAATATAGAACTACCATATGACCCAGCAATTCGACTGCTAGGTACACATCCAAAAGAATTGAAAGCAGAGACTTGAACAGATATTTGTATACTTTAATGTTCATAGATGCATTATTAACAATACCTCAAAAGTGGAAACGATCCAAGTGTCTATCAACAGATGAATGAATAAACAAAATTTGGTGCATACACACAAGGGAATATTATTCAGCCATAAAAAGGAATGAAGTTTTAATTTATGCTACAAGGTGGGTGGACCTTGGAAACATGCTTAGTGAAACAAGCCAGACATAGGAGAAATATTGTGAGATTCCACTTACGTATTCCACCTAGCGTAGGCAGATTCATAGAGAAGGAAAGTAGAATAGAGGTTACCTGAGGCTGGGGGGAAGGAGGGAGTGGGGAGCTATTGTTTAATGGGTACAGGATCTTTTTTGGGGATAATGAAAAAGTTTGAGGCATAGGCCTTGAAGGTGGTTCCACAACATTGTGAATGTATTTAATGCCACTGAAGTGTACACTTTACAAATGGTTAAAAGATAAATATTATGTATATTTTACCACAGTGAAAAAAATCAATGTTTTAAAAACCAGTTGGGGGCTTCCCTGGTGGCGCAGTGGTTGAGGGTCCGCCTGCCGATGCAGGGGACACGGGTTCGTGCCCCGGTCCGGGAAGATCCCACATGCCACGGAGCGGCTGGGCCTGTGGGCCATGGCTGCTGGGCCTGCGCGTCCGGAGAGGCCACAGCAGTGAGAGGCCTGCGTACCGCAAAAAAAAAAAAAAAAAAAAAAAAAACCAGTTGGGTATATTTGTAAGGGTCTGTCTCTGGGTTCTCTATTCCGTTCACCGGGCTCTGTGTTTATCCCCACTGTCTTGATTACTGTGTTTATCCCCACTGTCTTGATTGCTGTGTCTGTACAGCTGGTCTTAAACTATCGGGGAAACTACTGGGGAAAGTGGTCTTCCCGTTTTGTTCACCTTTTTCACAACTGAGTTCTTCTAGGGCCTGGGCCTGGCATTTTTGGAGCCCCTCTCGCACTCCCTTTTGTAGAAGATGGCACCAGGACTTACCTACTTTCAAAGTCACCCTTGACACCTGCCTTGCCCTCAGCCCCCCGTATCTGACTCATCAACAAATGAGTTGCTTTTTTGGGGGCAGACATAGCTCTGGTCTGTGCCCCTCTCTCCGTGTCCAGCCATACTGGCTGCTTTCATCAGTCTCCTGGAACACTGCTTCCGTCTCATCACTTGTCCGCACACCCTCTCAGGCCCCCTTGATCCCATCCTCCACAGACAAGGCAGCCAGAGTTACATCTCCCAAATACCAGCCCGTCCTCAGCGCCTGCCTCTGCTCCCCCGCCTCCCTGGTGGCCTGGCTCCTGCCCTGCTCCAGCCTGGCTCCCCCACACTCTCAGCCCTCCAGCCACCTGTCTCCGCTGGAATTTCACACTTCATCAGGCGATGCTGGACTGCAGGCCCCAGCGGGCAGGGGCCATGCTGCCCCGTCACACCAGCTGGGACTGGACTTGGTGCATGCGCATTGGATTTCTATTGACAAACTCCATGAATGTGGGAAGGAGCCCATGGTTGGGGGTGGTGGTGGGGAGATGAGGTTGGAGACGTGGGGATAGCTGGGGTGGGTTTACAGAGGTCTCCCTGACCCTTACAGAAAAACAGGCAAAGGCTTTTTTTTTTTTTTCCGGCCATACCACATGGCATGTGCGATCTCCCCAACCAGGGATCAGACCCGCGCCCCCTGCACTGGAAGCACGGACCCAGAAAGTTCCAAAATAAAACTTTTTTTTTTTTTGGCCATGCCGCGCAGCATGCAGGAGGCAAAGGCTTTGAAGAGACACTTAGCAGAAAAGGAATTGTGGTGCTTTTATAAATATGAAAGGATGCACAATTACTAAGTACAAAAACGCAAATGAAAATTAGGCCGAGAGGGGCCAGACTTCACCTGTCTGACTGCGGAAGATGGGAGAGTTTGACAACACCCTGGGCATGAGGCCGAGGGAGGGGCTGAGAACGGGCGACTTGGCAGTGCTGAGCTTTGCCCGGCAATCCCACTTGTAGGCATTTGGCCCACAGACATGCTGGCACACCTGTGAAATGACATCTGCACACGGTTATCGTTGCTGCACCGTTTGTAAGAGCAAATGCCTGGAAACCACTGACCTGGCCCCATGGGGACTGGCTCAAGACATCGTGGCCCTTCCACACAGCTGCTAAAGCAACAAGGCTGTGCTTTGCAGAGATGGAAGCATGGAAAGATCACTAGACATATATATATTTTTTATTTAAAATCCTAATTTTAAATTATTAGCCTACCTAAGGCATAAATGTATAGTATGATCAGTTACTTTAAAGGGAAAACCCACGTAACCCCCGCCTCCATTTGAAGACACAGATGGTTCCAGCCCCCCAGAAGCCCGTCCCAAGCCCTCTTGCCCCCCGGAGGCAGCTTCTCCCCTGATTTTTGAGGCAGTCGCTGCCTTGCTTTTCTCTTTGGTTTTGCTACCTCTGTATGCTTCCCTAAAGAGCATATTTCATTTTGTCTGGTTTTAAACTATTTCTGAACAAAGTCCTAGGATGTATCGGGTTTTGTTTTGCTTCTTCTGTTTAATATTGTTTTTGATGTCCATCCAACGTAGCTGTGGGTCATTCATTCTCACTGTTGTTTGCTGTTCCACGGAGCTGGTAGATCACAGTTCATCATCCATCTCCTGTAGACGAGCGTTTGTGTTGTTTCCAGTCCCTCGCCGATTCAGACTGTGCTGTGTGAACCTTCTCATGTGTGTCCCTGGGTGTAGACGTGGGAGAGCACTTGCCAGGTCCCCAGTGTGTCTTCACCTCGACTGGATACTGCCAAATTCCTCCTGGTGCCAACGGCGCAGAGGGGCCGAGGAATGCTGTTGGCAAAAGCATCGTACGTGTGGTGCGCTGCCATTTCTGGCTGTTTTAAAAGTGCGTAAGCATCTCTGTGTGCGCGCGTGTGCACACACACGTGCATAAGCTCTCTCAGAAAGAAAACAAAGAAACTCCAGTAGAGGTGGCTCCAGGGCTGAGCTGGGGTGGGGCAGGGCAGGAGGGCATCGTCCTGTCCCTGTTTTCCCTTTGGTGCCATTGGCTTTTGAACTATGTTCCATATTATAAAGGGACAGAGACTGAGACAGAGTGAAGGAAAGGAAAGGGAGGGGATAGATGAAGCCTAAATGTGGCAGAATGTTAATAGTTGAGAATCCCAACGATGGATTTTATGGGGGTTCATTGGTTTAGTCTCTAGCTTGGGGTGTGTTTATAAAGTTTCGTAATGAAGATCTGTTCCGGTGTGAGAGGCTCTTGAACCGACCTCTCCTTGCCCCTGAGGCCTGTCCCAGGAGGATCCCTTGTTTCCAGTGAGACGTCCTCCTGGAGGAGGGGTGCTCCCTCCTTCCTCCCCCCTCCCCGGTCCCTTCCCTTGGGACCTAGTTTCCCTGGCTGGTCAGAACTGCCCAGTCCTGACCGCCTCCTTCACCAGAGCCCAAACCAGCCGGTCTGGTTTGGGGAGCCCGCCCCATTTGGCTCTCCTCTGGGTGGCTGCCTGACAGGTGCTCCACCCTGATGGGGGAGGGGGCGGCCTGGGATCTGGGGCGTGGGGGGGGGAGCGGGAGGGGCCAGACCTGCCCTGCCGTGGCCCCAGGCCTGGCCGGGAGCCCCTGGCTTAGTGAGCAGGTGGTAGACAGAAGGGGGTAGGTGGGATTTCCAGGCCCTTGGAGCCAGTCAGTCCTCCTGGTCCCCGTGGTAAAGTCCTGGAGGAGTCGGTCTGGGGCAGAAGCTGTGGTAGGGTGCCGGAGCAGGGGAGTGGGAAGGACCCAGGCACCTCTGTCCACCTGCCGCCCGGGCCACCTGCTCGCTCACTGTTCTCCCTGGGCTGCCCGTCAGCCGAGTACCCGCCCAGGGCCCAGGACCCTGCTTGAATCTGATCATTGCTGCCGCTCACACGACCACCACCCCCCACCCAAGTCAGGGGGCAGTCCTACTCTTCTGTCCGCCCCCAGGGCAGGCAGTTTGGTCGGGTTTGTTCACTGCTGAATTGCCAGGGCCTCCGACAGGCTTGCCTGGTATGTGCCAGGAGTGGGGCGAATGTGTGAACCAATGGGGGAGACAGGTCAGGGACGGTGACAGCCTGAGGGTCAGCGCGGGGATGGAGCCCGGGGTGTCAGGGAAGGCTTCCTGCAGGAGGGGCTGCAGTAAAGGGATGAACTGGGCAGCCCCGGCCCCTGCCCCCCACAGGGGAGACAGAAAGAAACAGATTTCGTGCCAGGAGCTGTGCCCCGGGCCAAGGAAGGCTTCTCAGAGAAAGTGAGATCTGAAGCGGGGAGAAGGTGTGAGGCAGAGGTGGGGTGCCCGTTCTAGATTCCCTTTCTCTGAGCGTCCTTTTCTCCTGTTCTGCGATAGGGGTTCTGGGCCCCCTAGCCTCCTGCTCAGAGTGGCTGGTCTAGGACACAGGCACTGGGACAGACGGCCCACTTGGGCAAGTCACTCGGCCTCTCCAGGCTTCAGTTTCCTCTGTTGTAAAATGGGCCTGATAAAGTACCTGCCCATTTAGGGCAGTGGTGAGCTAAAATGACTTAATGTGTGTCGATGCTGAGAGGAGGACCTGGCCCAGAGGAAGTTCTCTGGAAAGTTGGGCCACTTATTTTCAGAAAGGTTAGTTACATCCTGGCAAGACAGCCAGCATAGCGACACAGGAGTCCCAGCCGTCCCCACCTTTCCCTCTCCACATTCCCGCCATCCAGCCCCACTCTCACGCCTAGGTATTTCCGTGGCATGGGGGTGGCGGCTGTTTACCGTGATCTCCCCTGGTGAGGCCGCAAGTCTCGGGTTCATCCTGATGGGTGAGTGGGGCAGAGCAGCAGGGGCCCCCTTCGTTGCACCCTCTGGGGCTCTTACTGGCATCGCAGCCTGGGTGTGCAGGGAGAGGGGGACACAGCAAGCCCCGGATCTCCAGCCACCCTCCCCGTCAAAGAGGCCACTCATCCCCCATCTCTGTGTCCTGCACCACAGCCCCAGCCAGTGTTTCACACCTGGCTGCCCCGCCAGCCACTCTCGGGCACTCAGCCCCATGCTGAGCCACTGTTTCTGGCCCCTGGCACCTGGCCTGGCATAGGGAGTGAGATGGGGGTGTGCGTGTGTGGTGGGAGACTGACCCTGCCAAAGCAGGGGCTGTGGTTGGGTCCCCTGCTCCTGTGTCCCTGCCCAGCCCTCCCTCCGCTGGGACAGTTGTGGGCCCCACGGCTCAGGCTTTCCAGGCTCAGCCCCGCCTCCCTCCGGCCCTCCCTTCACCCTCCACCCTTCCCCTCCCCCTCCCATGGGCTGGAGCCACAGCCAAGCTCAACTCCTGCCAGGGCAGGGCCGCGTCACCAGCCGCTGCCAGGGAGGCCAGGGCGCAGAGCCCAGCCAGCTCACCTCCGTGGGCAGGGGAACCCCTTGATCCCAGCTCCCTGATCTTTCAGCTGGAAGCCTCTGTCTGCCGGCCTGCCCCACTGCGGGTGGCCCAGGACAGAGGGAAGAGGATGGTGGAGGTGAGCTGGCCCAGGCCTTGGGGAGGAGCGGAGGAGGGGGAGGGCTGCCTGGGTGTGCAGGAGGGCAGTCCGGACACAGGGCCACCTGAGCCAGCGTAAGCACGTGCGCCAGGGGCCACACCTGTCTTGGGGCCAGGGGCGGGGTGGCTGTGTGTGTGCCCGTGTGGGCGGTGGCAGGCGTCTATCTGCTGGGGCTTAGCCCACACCTCGGCGCGGGTCCCCCCGAGCATGTCTGTGGGAGCGCATTCCTGGGGTCTGGTCTGCATGGAGGTGTTTCCAAGGGGTTGTGCCTCCCTGGGCCACTGGTGACCCTGGGGCTGGCTGTGGGCATGCCTGGGTCTGTGTGCGGGTCTCATGGTGTAACTCTGTCTCAGGAGCGCTCCTGGGTGTGTGGAGGGTCTTGGGGTCTGCCTTCCTAGTGAGTCCAGCCATACAGAGCATTTGTGGGGCTGTGTGTGTGAGCATGTGGCTGTGTTTCTAGGTGGTGCCTAAAGTCCGTATCATTGTGTTATTTGGCTCCCGCAGGATCCTTGTATGTGACTCTGGGTCTCTCTGGAGTCCCTCCATCTCAGGGGTGAACGGGTCTTTACGTTGTTTGTGGAAGGGCCCCGGGTCCTTGACTTCTTGGGGTCCCAGCCGTGGGTCCCCAGTGTTGCGGCCCTTTCGTTCTGAGAACTTCCTCTGAGCCAGGCCCCTCTTAAGACTGCTTTCCCCACCTTCTCCCATGACACCTCCCAGTTGCCTCCGGCCCACTTACTGAGGCTCGGGGTGGGATGTTCCCTCCTGTGCCCAGGCCCCTGTACAGCTGCCAGCAGGGTACCCGGGTAGTGTGGGGCAAGCGGCTGCTCCGTCTCGGGCTGCTTGGGGACTTTTCCATGCAACCAGTGTGTGTGTTCTCGTGTTTCTGTGGTTGTGTGGCTGGATGTCTGTTTTGCATGTCTGTGTCAGTCTCTGAGGACAGCTGTGCACTGTGGAGCGACTTCATTTGCTTCTGTGTCTTGGGGGTGTGTGTGTGTGTATGGCGGGGAAGGGCTTAGGTTGGAGGGGCCTGGGAGGCCACTGGAACCTCTTTTCTACCTGTTGCCCCCTCCCTCCTTCCTGCCCCACCTCAGGGGAGGAATGAATGAAGTCGAATCTGATTTCCCCAGTCCCTGGGGGCTCGCCCACACTCTCAGGTTTGTTGTGGCATCCATCCCCACCCTGGGCACCTCTGGGGGGTGAGGGACACCAGCAGTGCCCTTTGTGTCTGTGCTCTATTGAGCCTGGCCAGGCGGGGAGGGGGCACCTGAGCCTGGGGCTGCCACAGGAGCCGCCTGGCCTCCCTGGGGGCTTAGAGCACCTCGGGGTAAAGGAAGCGCCATCTGTGCATTCAGCCACTCTCTGAGCTGTGCCTCGCCCTGTGCTGGGCAGGGCCGGGGACACAGGGTGGCTAAGAGGGCCCCAGGCCCTGTCCTTTGGGAGGGCAGGGGTCATCAGAGCATGATGGGGGCCCATTATGCTCCCCCATCCCAGCCCTGGAGAAGGACGGTCTTAAACAGAGGTAGTCAGACTGGCACATTTGCTCTGGGAGACCGTGCTCAGCATCCTCTGTCCTTTACTTGTTCCTTCCTTTATTCGTTCAGCAGTAGCAGCAGCAGTGCCAGTAATGATAACAGCAGCTAGGCTGTAGCAGTGAGGGCCCACTCGGCGGCAGGCGCTGTTCTGAGCGCTTGGCGTGGGTCATCTGGTTCGCTCGTCCAAACACTCCCAGGAGATAGGGACCATCGTTACCCCCAGTTTGCAGGTGAGGACACGGAGGCCCAGAGTCACTTGCTCACGGGCACACAGCTTGGCAGTGGTGGAGCGGGCACGAGCCTGGGCCATCTGCTCTTACTCGTCGGCTGCCTTCCGAGTCCTTGTCCGGCACTCAGTGCAGAGGCCTGCTGAGGGGAGGATGGCGCTTACGTGGCCAGAACACGAGAGCAGGCTGCTCGTCACTTCCCACATGCGACTCCAGGCCCTGCTCCCCAAGGCTCGGGTGGCCCTCGATCTGTGTCTTTTCATGGGCTTTCACCCATCGTGGGGAGCGCGGATCTCTGGCGGCACACCCCCTGTATGATGTTCTTCTTGCTTCTGGCCAAAATGTACCACCACTTCCTCCAGTTCCCAGCCTAGGCCGTGTGGTGGGGAGGGCCTGGGGAAGTGGGCTCACAGCCGGGCGCTCCTTGTGTTTGGAACACACACCAGGTTATTCACTGAATAGCTGGATTCAGTCTCTAAAGAGGCTCAGTTCCGTCACAGGCATCAAGGTCAGATTTCCAGGCAGTGTGGACAGGCCTTGGGGACTCCTGGCCGCCCTCTGCCCCACCACCCTTCCCTGCACCTCCTCAGGGTCCAGCCTCATCGCTTTGGCGATGACATCACTCATTCGTTGCACAGATATTTACCAGGTACCTGCTGTGTGCCAGGCCCTGCTCTAGCTGCCAGGGGTACGACAAGAATGAGACAGACAAAGGTATATAATGCCAGATGATAATAAATGCCACAGAGAAGTATAAAGCAGGGGTGCAAATTTTGTCAGGGGGTCAGGGAAGGCCTCCCAGAGGAGGTTTTCTTTGCACTGAGACCTGAAGATCAAGAAAGGGGAGCCATGCAGCTCTGGGCAGAGGGAACAATGGGTGCAAAGGCCCTGAGGCTGGAACAAGCTTGATGTGTCCAAGACTGCAAAGGAGGAGGCCAGCGTGGCTGGGGTGAAGTGCAGGGAGGAGATGGGGTCCCTTGGTGGCAGGGCCCAACTGGGCAGGGCCTTGCTAAGTCACGGTAGGGAGTTTCATCCAGGTGGGGAGCCCTGCAGAGTTTTGTTTAACATTTCTTCAGATTCCCTGCTAACCACAGCAGCCTTTCTGATCTTGGTTTTGGTCATCGGAAGCAGAGTTGTCTCTGTTCATGTTCCTGTCCCATAAACCTCTGAGGTCCTTTGTCTGGAGTAGAAGCTTTGGCTGGAGCCAGGGCTGCTGGGAAGCGGGAGGCTTAAGGGGGCAGTGACAGGCCTTCTCCGTGGGTCAGTCGACGCTTTTGTGCCCTGGCGCTGGGCAGCCCTGGGCAGTGACTTCTCCTCTCTGGGCCTCAGTTTCCTAGTTTGGGAAATAGGAGGGAAGAGGACTCTCCACCCACACACCCAAGAACAACTGGGAGGGTTCACCGTGGCCTGGTCTGCATGCCTGGTGCAGGCATAGGCCAGAGTCAGCGCTGAAACACGTGTGTCCCCTCCATCCACCCAGCAGCCACTGAGGGGAGACCTGGGATCCAGCCTGTAACCAACCAGAGCATTGCTCCTGCCTGCGCCGAGCCACCGACTTAGCAGGGAGACAGCAGACACAATCATAACCATACAACATGTTAGGTGATGCTAAGGGCTGGGAGAGAATGGACTGGATGCCAGGATGCCAGGCTCTGGGGGATGCAGCGACGGGCAAGACCAGACCAAGCCCCTGCCCCCGTGGAGCTCACGCTCCAGCTGTTGCAAAAGGTGGTGTCAGTCCTCAGCAATCCTGCCGTCTCAATCTCTACAGGGTGCCCAGAACCTGCCTATTCCTTCCGCCTCCACAGGCTCCACGTGGTCCCGTCCACCCTCTTCTCCTGCTGGACTGTCGCATCCTCCTCCTCCCAGGTGTCCCTGCTCCTGCCCTGCTCCCACACGCAGCCACCGGGAGCCTGTGAACACCTGAGTCTGGCCACATCCCTCCCCTGCTCAGAACCTTCCTGTTGCTCCGTCTCACTCAGGTAAAAGCCAGAGTCCTGGGGATTTCCATGGTGATCCAGTGGTTAAGACTTTGCCTTCCAATGCAGAGGGTGCAGGTTTGATCCCTGGTCGATCCCTGGTCAGGGAGCTAAGATCTCACATGGCTCACAGCCAAAAAACCAAAACGTAAAACAGAAGGAATATTGTGACAAATTCAATAAAGACTTTAAAAATGGTCCACATAGGGCTTCTCTGGTGGCGCAGTGGTTGAGAGTCCGCCTGCCAATGCAGGGGACACAGGTTTGTGCCCCGGTCCAGGAAGGTCCCACATGCCGTGGAGCGGCTGGGCCCATGAGCCATGGCCGCTGAGCCATGGCCGCTGAGCCTGCGCGTCCAGAGCCTGTGCTCCGTGACGGGAGAGGCCCCAATAGTGAGAGGCCTGTGTACCGCAAAAAAAAAAAAAAATGGTCCACATAAAAAAATTTTTAAAAAGCCAGAGTCCTACGCACGGCCCACAAGTGCCTACACAATCTGCCCTTCTCTCTCACCTCACTCACCCGGCCCCAGCCACTCGGCCTCCTCTCTGCTCTTCGGCCACATCAAGCACGTTCCTGCCTCAGGACATTTGCACTGGCTGTTCCCACTGCCTGGGTGCTCCTCCAGCTACCCACAGGGCTCCCTCTCCTCTCTCCACTCGGGTCCCTGCTCAAGCGTCACCTCCTCAGCAAGGCCCTCCCTGACCACTTCACTGAAAATTCCCACCTCCCCTCACCCTCCACACCCTCCTGATCCCTGCTGTATTTTTCTCCTCAGCACTTACCACCTGACTTACTAGCTATTTTTCTGATTTATCTCATTTATTGACTGTCTCCTTTCCCCTAGGATGTGAGCTCTGCAAGGGCAGGGATATTCCTGACGCTCCTGGCGCCTCTGCCCCAGGCCTGGCAGAGATCAGTCCTCGGTAGACATTG